CTATCGAGTTTGAATGCTGGTCGTGAGAATAAGAATTATAAATTTTCTGTTGGTCACACACATGGACACACAAGACAGATCAGCCGGATATACGGTAGCGCTCAAAAGTCTTCGTTGAAGAGCCTTAACGCTTTTTGGTTCATAATTTTTCTTGAAAGAATAAATCGCGCGAAATCTTGATATGTTTGCCTGAATTTTTCGAATAAAGTGCGAATAAATTTTCGATCGCACCTAATCAAGCTTGCCTCGCACCTAGGCGCGAAGTAACCTTAATTAGGTGCGAAGACTAAGCGGTAATCAGGCTGCCCGCACTTGATACTAATCGAGTTAAAACTTGTCAACTAAAGAGGATAATGACAGATAAAAAAGTCTGGTTTTCAAAAAAAGTTTTTGTCTAAGAAAAAGTTCCAATATCAATTCCAACGAATTTGAGAGTTTTTCCCTTGCATAATAAGTAAATTCAATATATTTTGTGATTAAAGTTTCTGTATGGGAGAAAAGGTTCAATTACTTAGTTGTAAGAATACTTAAAATAAAACCTAAATTTATAAGTAGAATTTTAGATGGTTTTGTTTATAACGAATTTGAACATCTTTATTCAAAATTCTTGTATTTGGTGACGGCTTGCTCCTTGCTGTTGAAGTTCATCGAACCTAGGAGAGGACTTTGGGGGTGCAGGAAACGTGTAGAGCGATTGTTGTGCTACGGGGTCCCGATGCATTTGTAGAGGCTGTGTAGACGCAGATCTTCCGAAAAATCATTTTGTAGTGCTGGGGCTTTCGGAGCAAAGTGAAAAGTTAATAAAGGAGGGAAGAGGGCCACATGGACCGCGCACTCCCAAATAATCTGAAGCGGGAGGATACCCTGTAAGTTCACCAAAACAGTACAGTGCGTCTGTAGAATACATGGTAATGCCTTAAAAAGTTAAGTGAAAAACTGTGAAATGGCTAGCATGATGAGCCGTAGGGCGTTCAATGACCTCTCAATGAAGAGTAGTCCCAATACCAAACAACTCTTGAGAACTACATCGCTTCTGTCAAAGTTGTTTGATATCGCATATAAACGAAAATATGAAAAAAGAAGTAAATTGAACTGTTTTATCCATTTTCAGGAACTTGAAATGAAATATTTTGAACCTATTTATTATGCGTGGAAATGGTTTAATTCTCAAAATCGTTGAAGTTGATATTGGAGTTTTTCCTTCCGAAAACTAATTTTTTGAAGAGAAACTTCATTTTTTAAGCTGTCATTATCCTCTCTAACTGACAAGTTTTAACTTTAGTAGCGAGTGCGGGCAGCATAATTACCGCTTAGTCTTCGCACCTTATTAAGGTCACTTCGCGCCTAGGTGCGAGGAGAGCTTGATTGGGTGCGATCGAAAATTTATTCCCGTACCCGTTCAGCTAGAGCATATCTCACCCTTCCCAACTATTTGATTGCGAAGCTGCAATATCCACAGGTTGAGCAAGGTGTTTGTTGCGGTAGCAGATTTTGCTAAGGCTAAAGTTGTTGACGTCTGCACTTATTCGCACCTTATGTGCGTTTTACTCATCTATTGTGTTCGGCATTACCGCTCGTACACTTTAGACATGACAAAAAGGAAAGGGATTCTAGAAGGACCATCATCTGTATTTTCAGTCGATTTTGATTTCAAGTTCTTTGGGATATTTGNAACATGATCAAAATGTAGGTTAATAGTGGTAGATATTCACAACACACCCATGCTACACATATTGAAATTTCTCATGATTCGATCCACTAGGAAAGGAGTTACGACTGAAAATTATGACTGAAGAAGCATTCCACCGAAGACTTTTGAGCGCTACTGTATATAGTATGACAGGAGTGTAGGCTTTAAGGCCAACGCAGATGAGAGCGCTCGAGAGCAACGAATTACCATGGGTGGTGATATGATAAAATTGGACAATCTACTCCATATGTTGAGTAACATGTGAGAATCTCCATTCCTAAAAGAGTTCTTCCGAGCCTTGGTCTCGCTACAAAAACCTTGACTAACTCATTATTGTTCCGTAGAGCTTCTCCAGTTCCACACAGAATATCTCCAACTTTCTTCGTATTACTTCCATGTCGGTGTCCATGAGGGTAGGCAACGACTGTTAAAGCTAGTTTTGAGCCATGCCTTTTCAGTCACAAATGGGTTGTCAGGTTATTCTATGAATCGAGGTTCATGGCCAAACTATGTTGACGAGGACATCTCCTTTGCCAACTGCATTTTCAAGAAAGTCTTCAGCCTCCAACAGACTTAGCTTCAAATTATTCTGAGTAACTTTTATTGAATGTCGTTATGAAATAGATGTGGAATTGACGCACTCCTTAGGGGACTGAGCGAATCCTACACGATTGTTTCCATGGTAGAAGACAGTGTAAAAGTTCGAAGAAAAACGTCACCAAGAATCCAGAGAGGCCCTTAAATCTAATATTCATCCAAACATTGTGTAGTATTCAGTCAAGAGGGGCTTACCAATTGGAGGCGGAAGATCGAGTCCCAAGAAACCGAGTACGCATGCCTGTTTCATATTCATCTTCAAAAATTACATTGCTGCTCTGATGCTTTTTCATCGATTCATTCTTATCGATATCATTGTCAATGTTCCTAGAGGCCCATGCATGATTATTATATATAGTGCATACCTGGACAAGCAGTTGTGGAACCTTGAAGAATGAAGTGTTGACCACCAATGGAGAAGATAAGTGCTTGTAGGCCCGAGGTAGAGCGGAGAAGTGAAGGAGAGGCAGCTGAGGCCTGCCGCAATAGTCTCATGGGTAGCGTGTTCTCAAAGGCGAAAACATAATCTTCGTAATCGTAATCATAAGAAGTCGGCAATCGCATTCCGGTTAAGTTTTGCCTGTGGAGCGATTTAAGCACAGGCACCGTAAGTAGAAGGACCTAATAAAACTCCACATAACGTGCGCTGAAAGTAGAACTAACGCAAGAGTTGGGTACAGAGTGCGTTGTTGCATTGCAAGGAGGATTAGGTGGAAATGTTCTTTCATAATCTAATCAGAGAAAATAAGATTTATCAGTGAAAAAATAGAGTCTATTTAGAGCGGGTTTGAATGCGAAGAATAACGCTAAGTGGTGAAATGTCAGCGTCACTAAAAGATTACTTCCTCATGTGAGTTAATGTGCAGTTTGGCATAACGAATTTCGTTAATCAGTCCAGTTTTTTGCCTATGAGTGATTCGCTTTTCCTTAATATATTCGAATCAGTGCCGTTTCCTCCAAAAACTGACTTCTACAACCTCCCTCGTACCTTGCCATCAGAGGCAATGCAATAGTGATTGACAGCCCCCATCGTACTGCTCTTCAAATTGATAGCTATAGTTATCAAACTATACTGAGAAAAACAGAAACCGATAGAAAATCTTTGTTAGTAGTCGATAAGGGATCTACGAAACCGATAGAAAATCTTTGTTAGCAGTCGATAAGGGATCTACCTATAGCTTGCTTTCAATGCAGGGCATATTTAGCTAAGGCTATGAAGCCAATTTCATGGCAAGTTGAGCGGAGTGGTTCTGTAGTTGTTCTGCTTCTGATTAGATTCTACGGCTGTAACCGAGCCTTAATTTTCTCGTGCAGAATACTCGGTGTTTTTTTGGAAAATCGATTGCGAAGTGATGCGAAGTTTGGATCTTTGCTCAAAACTGTTCAGATGCAACATGAGACCGTGGGAGAGCAAAAGTTCTATCACTGACATCAGGGACGATGGTAATTATTTAGTTCGCGATTTATGGGGCGATACACAGGAATAGCAACACTCTGCTGTGGATAAGTTGTTAGTGTTTTCTGTTAAATGTTACTCAATTTCTAAATGACTGAAATTACTAGATCGACGGGCTAATTTCGTTGAGCTTCTCATATGTCTGAAAATCTCGTTTTTCGTGCAATCATTTTATTGAATTTCTTTGTTGGTCTTATTTGGGACTGAGACATTTTTCAGTGGGCTTGGCGAATCCAACACGCTTATTTCCGTGGTCGAAAACGGTGTAGAAATTGCGAAGGAAGACGTCGCCAAGAACCCAAGGAGGGCCTGAAAACTAGTCATGTGGAAGTCTTCTAGAGATTTACCAGAAAAACGTACCCATCAAAGGTGGGATGTCGAATGCTAAAAAGCCGAGTTGACAGGTCTCGTTGTTCTGAAAAATTAGCACAATACTGATGCTTTCTCATCGACTCGAACGCATTTCATCCCTACCATTAAATCTTATGTAAAGCCTCAACAGGACACATCGTCAGTACCTGGATGACATAATCGGAACCTTGAAGGACGAACTCGTGACCACCAAGAGTGATTATGACTGCTGGCAATTTTGAGATATTACTGCATTCGATTTGGTACACGCCTCCTGTAGTATTCGTGGCCCCCGCTGACGAGAATAAATTTTGAAGCTGGAAGTAAAGGGGTAAGTATAAGCGAAAGCACAGCACCACTAAAAGTAACCTTCTGTACAGCATCAGTAGGTCCGACAATGAATGATCTGCCTGTGTCAACAATGGCTTCCTGTGTTTCATTTGTTATCGTCGTACCTCTGACATACACCGGTCCCAAGCTGATTGTCCAATATGATTCGCTAATCAAAGGTACCCATGATATATTTCCCTTTAAATAAATCGTTATTTTCAAATCGAAACTCACTTTCGAAAGTATAAGCAGCAGTACCTTATAATGGGCAGGATCTGTTCCACATATGGTCAATTCTCCAGCAACACCTGATGCGTTACTGTTAGGGGGTATGTAAAAGGCGAAAAGAGCTTCTGGGCACTGTGCCTAGAAATTAAAAAAAATTATGTAAATCTTGATAAACTGGAAGGAGAGAAAAAAAGCTTCCAGTGATTGGTCGTCNCATTGAGGCAAGCTTTTCTCTTATTAGTTGATTTTGGCCTGAAACCCAGATAGTTAGATTTTTGAGTGAGCGGTGTATCGCTGTTTGCTTTCGCATATACAGTGTGTCGACGGGCTCTAGCCTGCTCACTTCACCGTATCGTTGACACCATACGCGGCCAAAGTAAGTGGTCCTAACAAATTCTGTAAGCAACTCGATTCGAGTAAATGCTTTTTTGAGACTGGCTCGTAGGACCGGTGATTATTTGGACGTCAAAAAGGTAACCGTTTTGACCTATCCTATGTTCCTTCGCTCAGTCTCCTTCCCCACACTATTCTGTACTTTTCTTCTGTGGATATTGAATAGTGGGTATAATAGGAGATCACCACGACATCAATTACCCAGCCTCAACAAAAGCAGGCATTCTGGAGAAAAGACAACTTTTTATGAGAATCACCTTGTGCCTTGAAGTGGAGTTTGACGGTTTTCCTAGTCATTAGAATTTTTAAGTTTAATCTTTTTTTGTTCTAGGTCGGTCGAGTGATTGTCAAGCTTTCTGTGCTATAGCTTTTCCACTGATTACCTAGGCAGCGCACTACAATCAAAAATATTGGTCCTGCATGTGATTGATTCTGTGTTTGCCTCTTCCAATCTTTTGGTGTACTTATACGACTTATTTGGCACCGGGTTATTTGTTCGGGACTTGCTTTTGTGATGCGAGTCGAGTCCAAAGAAATTCAAACTACCTTGTTGGCGAAGATTTGATCTAGAGGGGGTGAAATGTTGTCCACTGCTACAGATCTCCATGCCATGCCGAAAACACCGTCGAATACGCTGTTCTNAATCACCAAAAACTCGTTTCGTTATTAAAGTTTTATAGCATATCCACTTACTGCGAATTTCTCGCCGGTTGCAACTGTGACGCAACCGAATCCTTGATTTTTGTTGGTACAATAGCTCCCACAGCCACATCCAAACTACAGAAATAGAGCAATTTCCCGTGCTCGATAAAGTGGGGAAGCTAGGACTCACACAAACGATGTCTTGGTCGACGGAACCCATAGCCATGCCGCCTTCATATTGGAGCTCGAACGAATTCCCTGTCGCGTTGCAAGTTGTCGAAAGATCACAGTCGAACTGGAAGCAAAGCCCGAATAGAGATCCAAAACAGATTAGACTTGACACTTACAGCACATCTCACCTTACGATGCTTTGTGCAAGATTCTAACTCAGGATTGCAGCCCATGCACGGGACCCAGAGTTCAGCAGTACTAGTATCGAACTGCACCAGGAACTGCTGAGGAGGTGTTCCAATATAGATATTGCCATAATAGGCTGTCTTAATATTGAACTCTTTGAGTATTTTTGAAGCTGTGTGGCATAAAGCACTTTCTTACATTCAACGGTGAGTACAATAGTGGTTCATTGAAACCTGTCGCATTGTCCGAGGCGAGCACGTTGCCTTTAATGTACCTTCGCGTCAGAAATTCAGCAACTGCCCTCCCATCAATAGGGGTCTCCGTGTCGGTCCATTTCAGCAAAGGTACACTAAAACAGTGGCTTTACTCATCGCAATACAAAGCAAGTAGGTGTGCTACTCACCGCGAAAGTGCTCTGATGCTAAGGGATATTCCAAGGAGTATAAACACGAGTCGTTCTTTCATAACCTTTTGAAAAAACGAAATACTTCAGCAAAAAACTACCGTAATTCCAAAACGCTCGAAAATACCGCTTCGGAAGGGGCCAGGATCCAAAACGAAATTTCAAGACAAAGTGAAAATTGGCCGGGACCCAGGGCTTACGTATACTTTTTGTGAGCTCACCCAGGTGTAAGCGGGTGATTTTTGCGGGCCGAGCTTGATATCTTGGAGGAATGTTGCAAAGAGCTATCTCTCCGGGAGGGATAGCAAACTTTAACATTGTAGAAAATTATTTACTCCTCATGGGATAATGGTAGGATAATCAGTCGCAATGGCACCTGTTTCATGAGATTCACATCCTTGATGTAGGCTATCGAGAGAAGAACTACATGAACTCTTTCCCGAAAAGATGCTGACATAAGGAGTTCGGTGAAGTCTTTGATATCGTTTGAGACTGATTGCGTTTACTTTGGTGTGAGCAGGGTACCGTAGGAGCCTGCTTGCTAGATACCTAGGGAAGGGGATAGTGGTTGATTCTGATGTCACGTGGGAGTGAATTATGTTATAAGGAATGATGTGGGATGCAATATGATGTGAGTACTGAAGAATTAAACTAGACTTATAACGGACGAGGCTTACTGAAAACTGATGACCAAAGTGACATCGTGAAGCATTTATATACATGCTCGAAAATAATGAATATCACTGTGCCCTTTCATATTCGATGGCTTGATTAG